TTTTTTACTTTATTAACGAAACTTTTTATTTTAAAAAAAAAAAGGAGAGGGTGGGGGTTGCTGCTATAAAAGGGTGATTTTATCCAAATCTTAGTTTGTTAATAATTTACCCTCTGGGCATCCATAGCTTTTTATAAATTGGTTGCTTTTTTTTTTCAAGACTTCTCAATTACTTCTTTTGGGTATACTGATATAAAACTATGTAATGTATGGGCCCCAGCGCTTGAAAACACCACGACTCCATTGTATACTATTTGCAAAACAACTTTTTTTTCCCCCTCCCATCTCCATGCATGAAAAAAAAAACATACCGCTGCATGTAATAAGTTGTTTTATACTTGTTTTCCAAATGTGTGATACACAAGTAGGAATGAACGCGCTTGGTGGGGGAGAAAGGGATATGTTTTACAAATTGACGACTTCAAGGTTAAACTGCCAATGTTGCAGAATATCCAGTTTTAGTATTCTATTGGTGAGCGAGGCGGCATGGGCCACCAGGTCCCAGAAGAGGGATCTGGCAATGGCAACTAACCATGTTTCAATTGCCAAAGCGCGGATTTGGCCCGTTCACGAACATCAAGCTCCTCATCGTGGCCAAGGGATTCAAGTTTGGTCAAAAAGCCTAGCTTCTTGAGCTCAATGGCACGTTGCGAACAGGCCGGGGCATCATTGGCGTCATCCTGCCACGTCAAATTGTTGAGCAGATGACACAGGGCAACGCGCACCTCGCGGTCGCGGCTGTTAAACAGACCGGCCAGGAGTTTGAGGAGTTCGGTCTGTGCAATAACCAGCTGTCGATGCCGTGGTATACTGGCGGCCATGTGAACCAGGATATAAATGACAGCCTCAATGATCCTAGCTTGAGGATACAAAACCCTAGTTTCGTTGCCAGATGAGCCGCGACGTCCGCTGAATGCATGGAGCACCTTGATCCTGAGCTTGGTGGCTAGAATATTGAAGAATCGATCCTGGCCGAGGGTGTTGAACAGATAGTCAATCATTTCGGCCGTGTCGTTTGTCGAGTCGGCATTGCTGCTGGAATGCGAGCTTCCAATGAGATTGCGAATGAAGCCCAGGCCTTGTTCTTGTATTGCCAGATCGTCTTGTCGAGCTTTTCGAACATCGTTGCCCTCGGCCTCGCGCAGTCCTGCCAATCGAGCTTCGGCGAGCTGGCGCAGGCGGTGGCTATCAGTCGCCTTGGGGAAGCTCGGTCCAGGCGACTCGTCTTCTATTTCCATTTCTTCGTCCAGGTCGTCGGAAACCTGCTTATCTCGTGACCTAGATGAAAATAGAGCTTCATCCTCGGTGTCATCACAAATGAGTTGCACCAACCAGCCAGACTGCAGCTCCTCCAGACAAGTCTTCTTCAGATCGATGCTGGCCATGTGAACTAGGTGCTTCAAAGCCCACAGTGCATTTAACCGCAAGGCAGCATTCTGCGATCTCGCATGGTTGCACAGCGTCTTGATGAGGCTTCCATTGTTGGCAGTCTCTCTGATCAGAGTGTCTCTCGTCGGGCTGAAGTCGGTAACCAGATTGCAGATTGCAGCAGTAGCAGCAATTTGCACATCAACAATGGGCCAGTTGAGTAGATTGTATATAGGGGTGGCCACGCCATTGTCCACAAGTGCGGTCCGCAAAATGTTGACAGATCGTGAAAGCATGCGTGTGGCATAACATGCAGCAATGATGACCTGTTGCGGGTTACCCAGCTGGTCATTCTCGTCTGCCTCGCCCCCCAGTCGTTGACGCCCGCCCGTTGTAGTATTCAAACTTTCCACTATGTAAGGGACGGTATCTTGTGCAACAATAGCCTCGCGGTATTCCTCCTTGAATGAAGCCATCGCGCCCAGGGACTTCAGCGTGCTTATGCGCACCCGAACACGATGAGCAACCCGCGGATGAAGGCCGGTCTTACCCAGCCGACTATCATTGGCATTACTCATGGAAGGTTGTGCATCCTCGGGAGACCAGAAGGGAGTTGGAGCGGGCACTTGCAGATCATACGTGCTCTTGAGCAACTTGGCCAAGATTTTGATTGCATTAGAATCAGCTGCAGCTTTTTGTAATGCGTCGCTGTCTGTGACGAGCCGGGCGAGTATTGTCGGGCCTTGCTCGATAATATCCCAGTGACACGATTCCGGATACGTTTGGTTGAGGTTCTCGGTGGCTGTGCTCAGCAACTGAAGTAGTTTTGGTACGACCAAGAGTCCTAGTGTAGCCTCCCTTGACTTGTACGCAAACCCACACTTGAAGAGCGACGTCAAGACAGACGCCGCCATCAAGGCTTCGTTGCCAGTCCGGCTTCGAACCATGCTGATGAGCCATGGAATCAGCGGGCTTTCAGGTTCCTCGTCCTCTTGCTCAGTAGCAGCTCGAGCCGGTAATAACTGTGATCGGCTCTGACTGGGCAAGTAGGGTAGCAGCAGGTCCATGGGCTCGAGCTCCTTTTGCTTCGTCGGTCTCAGCCCTGCCAGTTGCGCCTCGGGTTTGGATATGCTCAGGTCGACATCTGTATTCGGGAAAACTGCCAGTATCGAGTGGGAGTACAAGAGCTGGGCAGATCGGAAAGCAGAATCTGTGATAACTGCACTGATGGCTCCAAGAATATCTGACAATCGGAAACCGTCGGGTCTTGCTGCAGGAGGAATAAAGTCAAGCAAGCCTTCTGAGGTTGCGATTGCCTCGGCGCACGGAATGACTTGTCCTTCTGCCACGGCAAAGCTTGCCAATTTCGTGGCAAGAGCATCGAGAACCTTGTATTTGACCAGCGCGTTTTGATGTTCCTTTTCCCGGCAAAGAGTACTGATCAGTCGTGATACAATGTTTACCTGCGCGGCAATAGTGCGGCTGCTGTCGGGTTGTGCCAGTATCGTGGCAAATGACTTGAGGCAGGCTTTGTTGTTGAAGAGGATGTCGGCCAGAAAGGCCTCACCAAAGGCACAGAAGGGCGGCGCCAGGGTGCAACCATCGGCAACGTCGCGTATTACTCGTAGAGCAGCTAGAACAATCTGTGGCCGCTCATCTTTGAGGCAATCGACAGCTGCCGCGAGTGCACCGGACTTGTGTATCGGGTATACGAAAGCCGATCCAGCGCTCGCAAAGCTGGCGAGAAGCTGGAGGGCCGAAAGCTTGATTCTGTAGTCGCTCGATCGCTCGTCGAGAATCGCAACTAGAGGTTTGAGGGCGCCATTGAGCACACACTCTTGTTTCCTCTGCGGATGGCCGACGATATCGTTTTTCAGGGCCCTCAGAGCATCGAGGCGGACGGCAACGTCTACGTGGGGCGCCAGATTTGAGAGTATGTCGACAGCCATGGTGCTTTGTTGTGAACTTGGCTGCTGCTTTTTGTTGTTGTCATTGAAAGAAGGGTAAATTCCGCCGAGATGACGTCGGCAAAATCAGCCCAGCAGATGAGAGTGAGCCTCCACCAGCTTGACGGTACACGTCTGGTGATGGGCAATTTGTGAGTCTGGCAGGTCTCGGTCTGCGGAGCGCTAGTTGGAGGTGGTGGTGATGAACAATGAATTGATGGCGGCAGATGAGGATATCTTGACCAGTCCAACGCAAAGGGCTTTCTGGTCAGGTCGTGATTAAGTGATTACTATCAATGGCGGTCCGACAGTGGATGGACGGATGGATCTCGGATTGCGACACGCCTGGGTTGTTCCCGGTGGGTAGGTAGGTAACGTAAAGAGATACTGAAGCTAAGGTACCTTGACATACCTAAGCAAAGTTTTTAGCGCAATCTTTTAGTGTACCCGACTCTGCTCTCTCTTTTTTCTTGTCCCTTCTGTTTCTGGGGAAAGCTCGAGCCCAGTTTGTTAGACTGGCTGCTGCCAGCTCTTATCGATAGGCTATACATACTTAACAAACTGCCTACCTACCTACATTACCCAATGGATCAGCAGCGGGACGGAATAACGGACCTGACCTTGGTTGTAACATGGATCCTGGGCGCAAGATACATATTGCATGGAGACCTTGCCTAGATAATATAGATCGTAAGTAGTTTAGAGAGAGAGAGAGAGAGAGAGAGACCGATCTGACGAAAAGGGAAAAAAAAAAAGAAAAATCTCCAACTTTCTCCAGGTCTCACACAGAGGGCTGAACAAGCATTCTTATCATTTATCAACAACGAGGTTTCATATCATGAGCATATGCACTCCCACTTGAACAAGTCCCCGAGGGGCTCGCATCTACATATTCTTTGGTAATATTCATTATGGCTCACCCAACAAGAACGCACTCGAAAATGCTGGGCCACGTTGGCAAGTTTCAGTTCCCACTGATGGAAGGAAATGGAGAAAGAAAGAAAAGTGAAGTAGAGATCGCCTCTGGTTCTAGGCAAGTTCGGGCCATATATGGATGGCGTTCATTGCGGCACAATATAGAGCCGCCTTAGCACATCATTCATATTGGGAGAGTGGTGAGATATACGCTGGCCCATGAATCACTCCCATCCATGACGATGCAGTACTGCCAAGAAGATCGGTTCACAGTGGGAAGCAAAGTGCGTACCCAGATACTTATCACTACTGCAACTTGAGCGGCAGTGAGGTGTACAGTTTCTTGGAGGAGTTATAATGTCTTTTGATTTTGAGGTTTCCACGAGATTGCAAGGAATCAGAATGCGTGCCTCCCGGCTGTCTGGCCTCCGCGGAAAGATGCGTGAATGAGAATGGGCTGTCGTCTGCTACGCTTGCTTTGTCAATGAGCGAGCACATCAGGCATCGGTTTTTCCAGTGCTTCGTCCAAAACGAGGAATTTTGTGGTCTGCAGTATTGACCTCTCCACCGGGCATGCAGGCAATCTTCTATATCTAAATGTATGTGCTTCGTACGTGGCCATATTATAAATTGTGCTGGGGTGATCTTCTCTCTATATCTCAGCACGTGTTGTCTCTGCGCTCTATTACTGGTCGCCTACCCATGGTGTCCGTACAAGGTACACGACTCATTCTATCCGGACAGACACCTTGGATCGAATGAATCCAATGTCAACGGACTCGTGTAAGAACAACGGATCATGACCGATTTCCATGATAGGAAAGACCGCCCTGTAAGGCTTCAATGTCATATACGTGCCAGTGAGCTGCGGGCTAATCCTGTCCAAGGCCTCGGTGAAGCAAGTTCAGTCTCCCCAGATCAGCCACGCCAAGTCCACCAACAACAGATTGAACTCGCTTTCCTGCAATGAGACAAAATGCGGAGGGACTCTCTGATAAATGCAGGCGGCATGTGGGCAGCTGAGACCGATATGTTCAAGAAGCCTTTGGTGATGCGGTTTCTGCAAAAGACTGCTTGTATAACGGGCCCACGTATGAAGGCGTTTATTTGTCATGCTAATAGAATGACGATGATTTGTTCGTAACAACTTGCCCATGTCAATGTGCCATGGGCAAATGGAATGGGATGGATATTTCACCGCTGCAATACAAAGGACCCGGTTTGTACGCCGAAGACGGGATTGTCCATCGGCTGTCGGCACCCCCTATCAACGCAGTAATTTTTCAAGAGTACAGCGCCATTAGACCCTGAAGGGTCATTAGGCTCGCAAGCTTCTGCACTCGTTCCATCACATCATTCCCTCGCGGGCCCATTCTGCATGAACTCCAGCCAACCAACCGTCATGTAGGTACGTAGGGCGAAAACGTGGGCGCTGCGGCAGGTAAAGTGAGCGAGAGATACATGGCGTAACGTAGGTTAGGTATCTCGTCCTTTTTTAGCGATCGCTAGGTGATGCTCAGTCAGGGGACAGCGGCCTGTCTACCGACCTGCCGTACAATTATCACAGGTAGGTAACCAGTAATACGGCCAAGGGACGCCTGAGGGTCAAAACTTTACCTGACCTAGGAAGTAGATCCCATCCTCTTTTTTTTTCTCTCTCTCTCTTTTTGCACCCCTCTTCAAGATAAGTTTTCGAGTTTGGTGAGGTCAGGCGCAATCGCCTTGTTAGATTTCCTGCGTTCGTCTTCTCTCCCTCTAGACGATCACTTTCATCACGCATCGCGCCCTGTCTTTCTCTCTATCATTAGGGGATAGAATTACAGCACCATTCGTACTGTTACCTCCTTCATCGTGCATAAGAGGTGGAATCCAGCTCGCTACACTACTGTCCACGGCCAGCCAGCCCACCTACCTACCTACCTACCTACTAAGTACTCATTAGACGGACGGACGTACGACTCGAAAAGAAATCGCGGGCCTGTCGATCGTCCCAAACCGCCACTGCCTTTCGCATCCACCCCTCATTCGGCTCCGAGCTAGCGGAAGCTACGATTTTTCTTCTAATTAACCACTCTTGTTCTTCTCCCCTGCTTCGGATCGCAAGGACAAGCAGGATGCGTAGTAGGGGATCATGTTGACTTCGTCTCCGATAGCCCCCCGGTCCACGAGCGCTTCACCCCGTACTTTTCACTACCATGCGCCTCATAATCTATCACCCCACCTCTCACCAAAGGTCACGGCCAACTTGCCGCGACGCCATTCCAAGCACTCAGTAGTGCCCTACCAGCACCAGCATCAGCAACAACAGCAACCCGCCGCTCTGGGTTCTTCGCTCAAGTCGCCGCCGCAGTCGCAATTGCAGCACTGTAGGCCGAAACAATATGTTGGCGTCGATGCCGCCACTCAGTATTCACCGATGGAGCCGTTCGACCCAACGGTGCCCGTGCAAAACGCCAGACCGCCGCCGCTCTCCGAAGCCCTGCCCTCATCTTCCGCGGCCGCGGCGAACTCTGCTACCATAGCAACAGCAACAGCACACTCAACCACCGCGGCGCCATCGACATATGTACAATCACAGTCCGCAACGCCCAAGGATCCTCCCGAGCCAAATCTGTCTCCCAAAAGACCCGACCATGTGACTTCGGGCGCAAACCCTCTATCACCCGCAAAAAGGCGCAACTCGCAAGACCTGGCTCAGGCCACCCCCGAGCCCGGCTCCAGCAGTGCTGCCGCCATTTCCAAAAATGGCAAATCAAAATCGTCGCCAAAACGCTCTCGAACCGACCAAGGTCCAGCGAAACTGCTACCCCTTAAGTATGAGTTTTGCGATGTCGAAGACATGGTGGTCCTCATCGCAAACATGCTGTCGGAGCTCATCGAGACCAACGATTCTCTAGCAATGAAGAGTGGGCACTTAACCAGATTCCATTCCAGGTGTAGTTTTTTTTTTTTTTTTTTTTTTTTGGCATGGGATCAGTCATCAGACCGCATATAAGGAAACACGTGTGTTTACTGATATTGATGCAGGACGGCGCCAGGAATTTCAGTGTTGGATTATCTACATAGACTTGCTAAGCACGCCACTCTTACGCCTCCGCTCCTTCTCTCCATGGTATATTACATCGACCGTCTCTGCGCCTTGTACCCGGACTTTACCATCAACACGCTTACAGTGCACCGGTTCTTGATTACGGCGGCTACGGTGGCGGGCAAGGGTCTCTCTGACAGCTTTTGGAATAACTCGTTCTATGCCCGTGTCGGCGGAGTTAAAATTGCGGAGCTGAAGCTTCTCGAACTCGAATTTCTCTATCGTGTTGACTGGAAGATAATACCCAACCCAGAGGTACTTGTGGCATATTACAAGGGACTTGTCGAGCGCTGTGACGGATATACCCTGCAAAAGGATGAAGCCTCGAGTGATGATGGCGGCAGTTCTGAGGCCTTTGAGGACAGCGACGATATTGGACAAAGCGACGAGAATGAGGAAAGCAAGGCGTGAGGAGGCAGCCGTCCAGGCCATGTGCCTAGGTTAGCAGCCCAGACTTGGGAAATTCAGGAGTTCAGGCAGGTCACATTGATATTGGTATTTGGACTGGAGCATTGCTTGGGGGAAATCATCATCTTTATCGAATCACTTGTGGAGCGAGGCGGCAGAAGACCTTTGTGGCTGAAAGGTCATCAGTAGGTTGAAATGAACAGCTTCAAACTGCAGAAACAGGAGTCAGGGGAGACGGAGAAGCGTGAACCATTTCCGCAGCCTGCGCATCCCATGTTTTTCATTGCACATTTTAGCCATTGCGTTCTTCCATGGAGTTGTTGCAAAAAATCAAGTTCAGATTACATAAGAAAAGACGTCTGGCTGTTTTTCAGCTGCAGGACTTTGCAACGTGACGCTGTTTCCATGGTTGTTTTAGCATAGCTGGAAGATGAAAAAAATGCAGTTTGATATGTAATGCAGTATAGTACTGTAAAGCATGGTTGCGTAGGTAAGCAATGATGTGACCCTGTGGTGATCTGCGATAATGGTTGGCAGGACCCCCAAGAAGCGCCACGCAGCCCCCCAAGCTCGTTTTAGCCCCCGGCACTTTGACCTGACCCAAGGCCTCGGAGCGACAGACCCTCTACAACTCTGGACTCGACATAACGACGACAATTCTCTTTGCACGTCTGCTGCAAAGGCACAATTTCCTCCGGCTCATCCTCTCTGTCGACACCTCCTTCGGGCACCAAAGTCATGAAGCTGCCGACATTGTTCTCGGGCCTACTACTGGCAGGTCTTGCCAGCGCCGCAGAGCGCACCGCGGCTGTCTACATCCAACCGGTGCTATCGTCGGCGCCAGCACCCGTGCTCCTCGCCCAAGTCACGTACGACCCTTACCTGCCGTCGGAGGCCTCGATATCCAACTTTGAATTCCCAGACTTCGAGGAGTCCGGGTTTGGAGAGGCTCGGAGTGTGCGCGTGGGCGTGTGGTCGCCCTCGACGCAGTCTTGGTCGGGGTCGGCGAGCGTCGCATCGATACAAAACTTTGGCAAGGGATACAGCCCGCACGTCATCCTGCACGTCAATCAGGGCTCGGGCGACGTGGTGGGTGCGGCGCTCCGAGGTGTCCGCATCGACGCCGGGCAGACGCGCGACTTTGGCCCCAAGGCCGTGGTCAACGTGGTCGGCAAGGGCGAGCAGGTTGCGCTCAATGCTCCGGTGAAGCTGACCCCCGACGGCAAGAAGAGAGAGGAGGAGACTGAGAAGACGTTCCTGCAGAAGTACGGTCACCCCTTTCTTCTACCTATGCTGGTTCCATATGTGATTGAGAAGAGGATCAAGATCAACAGTATGCTAACTATACATCTTACAGATACTGGTGGTTGATTGGTATCGTGGTACTCCTTTCCATGACCGGCGGCGGAGATGGAAAATGATAGAGTAGCTGTTGTTGCTTGATCATAGAATAAGACGCGATACACTCACCGACCTCCCACCCATCAGGCGTTATCAATCACTAATAGCCTGGAAGGGCGCATTGACCCACAAACGACAAGCCCATTGCTATTCTTACCTTTTTACTTCGCTCAGGACCGTTGGCTACACAATCGGATTATCCGAGCAGAGCTGCGTAGAGATTGGCAAGGCCTGATGTAGTCCGAGGGCACTGCTATGTCCCCATGTGCAGGATCAATCACGATATTTTCACACAACGAGCCTTTCAACGACACTCAGTGCTACTGCTCATCCCAGAGGGTCACCAGGAACTTCTGAAAGGAAATAATCCATGGCCTTACGAAGCGTTGAGACCTTGACAGTTCAGGGCATTCTGACACATGTGGCTTGACTTGGTCACTAAAAATGACAGTTTGTTGTACCAAAATGAGACCCATATGTTTCCAAGTTGACTGACTTGTTCCACAATCTCTGACTATCTTGAGTGCAAACAGTGATGATATGGTGACTGAGTAGAAGAAGAGAGCTTTCAGGCTACATGTATACCCATCTACGGGCTAACTCTGGATCTACATCACACACGGATGCATAAGCCAGCATTACTCAGTGATTCCGACTTATGCAAACGCTCAAACAGCTCTTATCGGAAGCTTATCTGCATGTGATGGCGGGGGTGCTAGGCGTCAAACAGACTAGTGCGGTTACCCAGCAGCAGGAAGCTCAAGTCGCGATTGATGGGCCGACTAATAAACAGCTGCGACGGACGTGGAAGCGCCTGCACTCAACCTTCTTCGAACTACTACTTGAACCTTTCTACACACACTTCCCAAACCAACTTGCGCCTTGAATCCAAACCAGATCACTTGCGCTCAATCGCCTTTGCAAAATCTGTCGGTGCGCCCTCCATTGATCCCCCAAAACACCCACAGAAGCATCTTCAGACCAAGTCGACCACGATGTCTGCCGAGAACGGTTCTACTACTCTCCCTGTCGATGACCCCTCCAAGGTCGCCGAGGCTCCCATTGAGACCAAGGGCAAGGGAAAGGCCACTGCCACCGAGGAGCCTGTCGACCAGACCATGGACGAAGATGACGACTCTTCTGACGACGAGGTGAGTTGCTGCTCCACTACCTACTATCACTACTCACTCTACTATCATTATCGCAAACGCAGACCCGCTTTTGGCGCATAGCTTATACTAATGTCTTTGATTCTGTTCCTAGGCCGAGAACAATGGTAAGGCGCAAAAACTCTTTGGCAACAACCCATTGATGGGGGAGAGTGTTTTTTGTTTTGTTGCACGTTGTTGAGTGAATAGACTAAACTAACCAATTCCTTGCGTTTCAGGTGCCGGCGATGAGGAGGCCGAGGACAACCTCGACGAGATTGACCTGAACAACATCGTCGAGGGTGGCCGCCGCACTCGAGGCAAGGTCATCAACTGGGCCGAGGCTGCCAAGAACGTCCCCGCCGACGAAGAGGAGGAGGACGATGAGGACTTTGAGGCTGGCGGAGATGAGGATGAGAAGATGGATGAGGATTAGACTTTGATTCAACCCCTCCCCTCCCTTCTCTTTCCACCCCACTTGGTTCAGCCTGGATGAGACGGTGATGGGTACCGCTGTATCTGATTTACATTTGGATTGGGATGTTTTGCCTCATGAATGATCCATTTTCTGTCATCCCCCCGGCGTTCGACACGTTTTCTTGTCAGCTCGGAAGGCAGCCTTGGTCAGGTTTTGCGGTTTGGAACCTGCCTGGGTGGTACTAGACACCCCCATCATAGCACACAGGTTACGACTGGTTTGGGAAGAAGAAAAAAAAAACGTATGATACTCTAGGAGTAAGGCTCCACGGAAGAGGATTCGCGCATTGCATAAGAGAATGAAGACAAAACAAAATAAAAGTTCATGATCTACAGAACACACTGACGGCATACCTTGAGTAATGCTCGATACCATCTAATTTTTGCCTCTCGAGTAACTTTGCATCTAATACAGTGCCATCGAAATCTTTGTGGAAACCAGTGACTCGGCTCGTTGTAGCTGAATAAAAGATGGATGCTCGTTTGCACAGTCCGTTTGCACTGAGAAGAGTCAAGTATCAGATTAAACTGCCAACCATTGTCTCTGGTCCAGCACCCTGGCGACCAGACCTGAACAAATAAACTTGGTAGACATACTGGCTCAATGGTAAGAGCGTAGAGGGCTATGACTACTCTGTCAGTGTGCCGGGCTCGAGTCCTCCTTTGGATTCGCCTGAGATTCCTTTGTTTTTGTTTTTCTCTGGCTCTCCCTCTTTTACCATCTCAAAGTCGAACCTTGCATCATTTTATCCGACTTTGTGAGGGAGGCTTGGTTCACTTTTAATGGGACCGAGTGAGCAAGGTGTTGTAGCCGACGAACTACAGATAAAATGCCGAAGACTGGACTATGATATTCATTAGCGATTGACAGGCCATGAAAAAGTTGACTCAACATGTTCTTCAGGACATCCGCCCAAGCTCATCCAACTAATTGGAGTCACATGAACTCGCTTGGGCATACTTTCTCTTGCAACGAACTCCCTCATCACTGTGTCTCTGTTCTTTATTTGGTGTGATTTTGTTAATATTTGGGCGGTGCTGGTGAGAGTGAATGTTGACAATTAAGATTGTTACAAACATATTGAAAGTTCAAGAAAGGAAATATTTACAACTCCTCGATCAGCTGTAGAGTATTTGGCCACATCTTTCGACTCTTTGCTGAGGATCGTTTACAGAAGCCTCTTTCGCGATGACTCTATTACATGTCAGCCGCTTTTCTTGTATGTCTCTTAGATCATTTACAGCTTGTGTCAAGGCACTATATAATGTGCGAGATATTGATGTACTCGGTTGCAAGGAAGCTCTTGAGTCTAATTAAGTCGACAGGTGGTCTGTGAATACATGAGTCAACTAGATACTATCATAGAGTATTACTTACCGTTGTAAACCCTAAGATCCTGAGTTTATTAAGTTTGGTAAGGACATATCAGGCAAACATGGCGCGTGGGGAATCCTGGAATCAATGTATTAGGTCTGCGTCGTAAGAGCTATTTTAATAATTCTTTCAGTTTATTTCACAAATTTCAATGTCGAGAATGGATCATGTCAGAATGAAGGCATGGAGGATGAGTACGAGTGAGTCGTAGTGTCCTTGTCCTTGCTATTAGTTTTCTTGCTGTGTTTACAAGTTAATGAGATGCCTTTTCTGCTTAAACATTCCCTCCTACATAAATACAAGGCTGCGAGACTCAACGACAATAATGCATCTTACTTAAAAAACTATTATATGGGAAGGAATAGGAGAATGAAAAGTAAACATTCATATCCATACATTCCATCTTTAATCTTAGCTGGAGGGTAGCTTTACTCGTGACGTGCTAATAGGCATCACAAAATATTCAAGATTGATAACAAGTCATACTCTTGAACCGGGTCCACGATTAACATCAATTCAAATCTGAATTTAAGTAATAATTTCTCTGGGGTCCTCATTGTTTAGGTATAAAGTCGGGTTTATGACTTACAATCAGTATATAGTTAGTTTTGAATAATATAAATGGATCAAGACACCGACCGCACTATTATTGCAATATTATATGCACCAGATCATGGCTGGCCTCCACATGTATAATGAATGGCATTGTAGCGTCGATCATTGCATGGATAATCAAGCAATTCAACTACTTTCCTTTGAAAATTCAAAATATTACAATGTCTGCGCAACGAGGAACCGGGTCATTACAGCACCACACGGATCCCAGAGCGGTGCCTGTATCATCCTAATCATAAAGAGATGCGCCGTGCGACCAAGACCTACCCGACTTCTTCATCGTGAGTCCTCCCAACAAATGGCTACTCTACTAAGCCAGGCCCAAATCTCGGAACAGAGCAAAAATACTGCCCGCTGGCAAGATCCGTGACACAAGCACGCATTTTCATACAGTATGTCGACCTTGCTTTACTCGAACTTCTTGGCCTTCGCCATATATTCCGCAAAATGCTTCTTTGTTTGCCTCATTCGACGCTCATTCCATTTTCCTCTGCCCGAAAATAACCGCCATGTCATTTCTCATGCCGTGGTCGTTGCTTCTCCAGAGTCCATTGAGTCGTGGCATGCCACGTAGAAGGCTCCCATGTTTGAGTATTTTCTTCTCTCCTGACAAGGGCGAAACCCTCGTACAGAAGGGAAAAAAAGCCAGCCTCACTCGTGTATCGTGTTACAACCTCCGTTCATATTTGCGCCCACAACCCGAAGCGGAGGGCTGGACGGCTGCACGAGACTTTTTCCCTCCCAAATTTACTCCCTCACGACCGAGGAACAAGAAAAGAGAAGTAGAGAAAGCACCCTTGCGGCGTCTTTGGGCCGCCATGTATGTCATACCACGCGGTAGCCAGCTCTGGTGTATCACACACACTGTCTCCTGTGTGAACAGTATGGACACGGAGACCAGTCCTCTAGTCGGAGTAGGCGCCGACAAAAACCAACAACAAAAAAACTCCGCGAAGTATCTGGAATTTCGAAACCCTGACCGCTCTCGTCCACTAGCCTTTAATCGACCATGATCTCTCAACACTTCCTCTATCCAGGGAGCGGATACCCCATAAACACAAAAAGCAGTGTTTTTTTTTTTGGCTGCAAATGCCGTGTTCAAAGGTGACACAAGGAGAGACGGCTCGCCACATGGGGGTGGTTGATCCGGTTTGGCCGGGAGGTTGAAGCAGGGAAGAAAATTTCGAGGAAAAAGAAAAACAGAAACCAAAAGGGCATCAAACTTTTCATGCCCATTAATTCTTTTAGACTTTGCTCGTGCCGACGAAGTGGTTTCCCTATTCGATGAATTTGTCTCCCTCTCAACCACTCCCTCCTTTGTTCCCCCCTTTCTGCAAGCAGGTTTCATTCTTTTTCCCTCCCAGACCCTTTCTTTGCCCTTATACCCATGAGTGCCATGTGGTAAGAGCAACGAGGGTACTCCCTGGTGACTGCATTGAAGCAATATTTTTATTCCTTTCATTATATTACTCTCGATACTCCAAATACTTTGGACATGTGGTTAGCCGTGCCGCCCGCGCATCCCTCATCCCGGACCTCTTCTTCTTTACACTGGGCGAGCAGAGGTGGGCGGAAGCGTGCTTTCTCCTCTGACAGCTCTATACCTTTTCCTGCACGTTTCTTTCATGGCACTCAATGACGAAAAAGGACTTTTTTTTTATGCCTAGCTAGGACGGTGAGCCTTTATGAGACGTGAACACACTATGATAAAAAGGAACCTAATTCCTCCGGTGTTGGTGTGACAAGCCATAAAACCCACAATTCTGACTATGTAATATAGCCAGCTACACATGGATGGGAGTGGCCCTGATTGATATTCCATTTCAGAGGTTTGACCAACAAACAAGCCAGCTTGGTGAGACTTTGTCGCTTCATCAGCCGAAGCCCGGCTGATCTTTGTACTTTCCTTTTACTCCCGTATCATCATTAGCGATTGCGAATAACATTTTAGCACTTAAGACCATTCTACGGTTCAGCTAAATCATTAATTGTTAGCTCATGCTAGAATAACATGAATGTCGTGCCATGAGTCCGGCTGCGAACCTCGACACGGCTTCGGGTGAACAGCATTTGGTGTAACTGGAGAAAATCTTTTGAGCTCTATTGGTAAGGAAGCTGAGAACTTGTGCCTTTTATTTCGCCCACCCCTTCTCCATCCGTTTCGCTTAATTCGTCATTCATCTCGAAAAGTTATGGGCACCATCATCGTTCCACAGTTGTAAAAAAAAAAAAAGCCGAGTTACACACAAGTCTCTGGGGTCTTAGTAATAATAGCAATAGTGGCAGGCGATAGAGGTCAATGATTAATCGAGTTTAGGTTAGCTATATGCGCAATAGACGAAGGGAAAAAAAAAAGGAAATGGAAGAAGCAGTAGACGAGACAGCTGTTCCACACGCGGGCGTTTCCCAAATGGCCCAAAACCACCAGATTCACCACATAGGAGTTTGGCGCCTTGGGTATTCGGATGAGATGATGATGATAAATATCACCCCGACATACATTCGTCGAGCCCTACAAGGTTGTCCAGGGGTTGTGCGGTCGAGATTCAGTTCGAATGATTTGTGTATCCCTTTTCCCCCTTGTTTTCTTTTTCATCATCATCCAAAGAGAAAAAAAATCCTGCATTGCCTTCGAGACATGAGGCACGTCGGTTGGCAATTCCGAGTCTGCCACATTTTGACTAGAGCGCGACTCTCCCTCTCTCTCTCTATGGCCGTAACATTGGCGCCTTGCTTTTCTTTCTTTCTTACATCTCTCCTCTGAGCGTGTCGTCGCGCACGCGTCATCCCTCCCTCCCTCCCTCGCACCCCCGAGTCGTTTTGACGCAAACAGAAACCAATCGGTTAATTCACTGAGGCGTTGTTGGCGAAATGGAATCAGCTGATTTATACCTTGGACATGTCCCTCCATGGCGTTCAATAAGCGACGCAGCCGCAATCGGAGCTTCCTGTATAATGGAAGTGATCTT